GTTGTCATACATTTTGTACTACCTCATTATTATAAATCTAATTACAGTGGAACCTTGGTTTTCGTTTCCCCAGTTTTTGTAAAATTTGGTTTTCGATTATTTTTTTTTGGCAAAATTTTGTTTTAGTTTTTGTTCATTCACTTGGTTTTTGTCCGTACCAGACGCGTCTGCTTGCCCATGGGACGCAGCCACTCATACGTTCGTGACTCAGTCTGCCTTTGTTACTCGTTCAGTGAGCATTACTCTGTGTGTTCATCCGAAGCATTTCTTAATAATCCATTGTTTTTTGTGCTTGTTTATTGAGTGTGACTGCTAAATAAGCCACCAGGAGCTAAAGAAAATTCCTAGTGCCAGCCCTTTGATAAAGAAGGCGAGAAACATGATAGAATTCAAGAAATAAATTGTAGCAAAGTACAAGAATGCTTTATGTGTGGCCAAGCTCGCCAGGATGTACGGGAAACCCTCATCAATGATCAGTTGATCAGGGTTTTGATACCTGAAGTCCTAATGGAGGGGGATTCCCCTTACAAACAATAACCTCTCCTCTCTCTCCCCTCCTCGACGTCTTCCATATGCCAACAAGAATCTTCATTAAAGGTAAAAGTTATGCTAAATGTTCATTTAACCATTTCATTAGTCATTTATATTTATTTGTCATTGTTTTCTGTATGTAAAACTATAGTTATTCTCTATAAAATGTATTTTTGTTAATATTTTTGGGTGTCTGGAATGAATTAATTGGATTTGCATTATTTCTTATGCGAGAGCTTGCAGTTAGTCGAAATTGTCATTGGTCGAATTAATTTTCCCCATAAGAAATAATGGAAATAGAATTAATCTGTTCCTGACACCTCAAAGTCTGAAAAAAAAAATTTTTTTACATGAAATATACATTTCCTGACACCAAAACGAATGGGACATGCAAAATAAACAATAATTAAATGCCACTTACCTTTATTGTGGAGTTGTTGCTGAGTGATGTGCCAGCAGCAGGGGAGATTCAGGATTGTCTATTGCTTGGAAGGAGAATCCCCTTCCATAAAGACTTCAGGTACCAAGTCCTTTGGTGAGGTTACCTCCCTTCTTGGTTTTTTAATGCCACTAGAACCAGCTTGAGAGTCACTGGACCCCTGTCGCACAAAATAGCTGTCCAGAGAGCTCTGTTTTTCACGTGCCCATAGGATTTCCCTAAAATGAGACATGTTGCCAATGCGGCTTGCAACTTCTGTGACAGGATAAAATTCATCGATAAATGCTTGCACCTTTGTAAACATTTAACACATTTCCCTAATCCTTGTCGAAGTCATCTTCCTCTGTCTCTCTTCATCCTGCTCTGAAGAACATTCCTGAGATTTGATCTGTTGCTGTTGCACCTGAAGCTCTTGCAGGTCTGCGGTGGTTAGTTCTTCCTCGTTGTTCTGCACCAACTCTTACACATCCTCGTCACAAACCTCCAACCCCAAGAACTTCCCCAATGACACAATATACACCTTTGATATACCTTTGAAGAAATTCGAGAGTACAGTGGACCCTCGAATTTAGTCGTGCCTTTTCTGTATGCAAAACTATTTTTATTATCTATAAAATGTATTTTCTGTTAATATTTTTGGGTGTCTGGAATGGTTTAATTGGATTTACATTATTTCCTATGGGAAATATTAACAAAAAATACATTTTATAGATAATATAAATAGTTTTGCATACAGAAATGGCACTACTAAGTTTGAGGTCCACTGTATATCTACTCTCTGAGCCCGGCCATGGCAAGGCTCGTCTGTGCTGTCGCCTGGTCAATCATAGCCTCCTGAGGGTTAGCCCCAAACCCTTCAAAATCCTTCTGTTCTACACATTCTGGCTACAGTTTCCTCCAAACAGAGTTCAAGGTCCTCTTAGTCACTCCCCCCCAAGCCTTACCTATAAGGTTTACAGAACTGAGGATACTGAAGTGATCTTTCAAAAACTCTCTTAGGGTAACTTGAGTGTCTAAGGTCACTTCAAAGCACTTTTGAAACTGCTGTTGTGTAGAGTTTTTTGAAGTTTGTAATGACCTGCTGGTCCATGGGCTGGAGGAGAGGAGTTGTATTAGGAGGCAAAAACTTCACCTTAACGAAACCAAACCCCCTGCAATTTCCTCTTGCAAGTCGTGAGGATGAGCAGGAGCATTGTTCATTACCATGAGGCATTTTAGTGACAATATCTTTTCCTGGAGGTATTTTGTCACAGTGGGGCCAAACACACCATAAAACTAGTCCAAGAAAAATTCCCTAGTGACCCATGCCTTACTGTTTGATCTCCACAGCACACACAAATTACTGTTGATGATATTGTTTTGCCTGAACACTCTGGGAGTATCAGAGTGATACACCAATAAAGGCTTCACTTTGCAATCACCACTAGCATTACTACACAACATTAATGTCAGCCTGTCTTTCATAGGCTAGTGTCCTGGGAGTGCCTTTTCCTCCTGAGTAATGTAGGTCCTGTTTGACATTTTCTTCCAGAACAGGTCTGTTTCATCACAATTAAACACTTGTTCAGGTTTTAAGTTTTCAGTCTCTATGTATTCCTTAAAGTCCTTCACATATTTTTCAGCCGCGTTTTTGTCTGAACTGGCTGCCTCACCATGCCTTACCACACTGTGTATGCCACTACGAATCTTAAACCTCTCAAACCAGCCTTTGCTGGTCTTAAATTCATCAGTAGCAGCACTATTTTGAGGCATTTTCTTAATGAGATCATCATGCACCTTCTTTGCCTTTTCACAAATTATAGACTGAGAAACACTATCACCAGATAATTGTTTTTCTTTTATCCATACCAATAACAGTCTCTCTACCTCTTCAGTTATTTGCGGTCTCCATTTTGAAAACATACTTGAACCTTTCGCAACAACAGCTTCCTTGATTGCCTGTCTTTTCACCAAGATAGTACTGATGGTTGAATGTTATTTGTTGTATTGCCTTTCCAAGTCAGCCATATGGACTCCACTCTCGTATTTTTCAATGATCATCATTTCCATCATAATTCTCACCCTTTTTAACACAGGCTTGGCACTAGAAGCTTTCTTGGGGCCCATGGTGGCTTATTTAGTGGTTACAAGCACTAAAAACAGTGGAATAATCCAAAATATATGGGAGGCACACATGGAATCCGACTGCAACAACTTGTAAACAATGGCACGCTGAGTGGTGGAGTGGCTGGGCCGCCTGCTCAGGCCGCGCTCCGGGCACATGGACATGTTCCAGACAAATGCATTGGTAGAATTTTTCGCCGTTGGTTAAAGCATTTTTTTTTATGGCAAAAAGTGTCGTTAGACGAAATTGCCATTACTTAATGCCACCGTTAGTTGAGGGTCGACTGTATATGGGTTGCTCTTCTTCCTGTATTGCACATTCTACTAAGAACTCCAGCTGGGAGTTGAAATACATAACTAATTTCCATGGCTGTTTTCCTATATACATGTAGGACACACTTTACCATGTTTATTATAATTTATATACTATTTTATGTACTTTATATATTTTGTATATTATATATTTATATATTTTATATTTTAGTATGGAAGAAGTGAATGTTTTCAGATATTTGGGAGTTGACATGTCAGCGGATGGATTTATGAAGGATGAGGTTAACCATAGAATTGATGAAGGAAAAAAGGTGAGTGGTGCGTTGAGGTATATGTGGAGACAAAAAACATTATCTATGGAGGAAAAGAAGGGAATGTATGAAAGTATAGTGGTACCAACACTCTTATATGGGCGTGAAGCTTGGGTTGTAAATGCTTCAGTGAGGAGTTGGTTGGAGGCAGTGATGTCGTCCTGTCTAAGGGCAAAGTGTATTATAAATATATTATGCAGAAAATTCGGAGTGTGGAAATTAAGAGAAGGTGTGGAGTTAATAAAAGTATTAGTCAGAGGGCTGAAGAGGGGTTGTTGAGGTGGTTTGGTTATTTAGAGAGAATGGATCAAAGTAAAATAACATTGAGAGTGTATAAATCTGTAGGGGAAGGAAGGCGGGGTAGGGGTCGTCCTCGAAAAGGTTGGAGGGAGGGGGTAAAGGGAGGTTTTGTGGACAAGGGGCTTGGACTTCCAGCAAGCATGCATGAGCATGTTAGATAGGAGTGAATGGAGACGAATGGTATTTGGGACCTGACGAGCTGTTGGAGTGTGAGCAGGGTAATATTTAGTGAAGGGATTCAGGGAAACTGGTTATTTTTATATAGCCAGACTTGAATCCGGGAAATGGGAAGTACAATGCCTGCACTTTAAAGGAGGAGTTTGGGATATTGGCAGTTTGGGGGGATATGTTATACATATATCTTTATACGTATATGGTTCTAAACTGTTGCATTCTGAGCACCTCTGCAAAAACAGTGATTATGTATGAGTGAGGTGAAAGTGCTAAATGATGATGAAAGTATTTTCTTTTTGGAATTTTCTTTCTTTTTGGGTCACCCTGACTCGATGGGAGACGGCCGACTTGTTAAAAAAAAAAAAAGTTATATAGTATGTGGTAAATGCTGTCTTACATGCAGATTAGGAAAACAGCCATGAAAACTAAATTCAGGTATATTTTAACCCCCAGCTGAAGTCCTTAGTAAAATGTTAGACAGAAAGGTCAAAATATATAGGGTAAGGTATCAAGTTAAAGCTAAATGTTGTACTGATGTAGACCTGGTCCAGGCCAAGGGAGTCATTGAAGCTAATAAATACATATAAGCAAAGTCTAGATTTGAGAAGGATCTGTCTGGCATAGGCCAAAACAGGAGTCCTACAAGATTTGGTGAATTTGAGGCAATTATGATTGATCTAAGGGAAGAAAGATTAAACTTCTTGGATCAAGAGCACCTCACATTAGTGAGATTCAGTATAAACATAATAGCATGTTTTATAAACTACATTTAAGGGGGGGGGGGTGATGGCTGCCATTGTGCTTTGAATATGTCTAATACTCTTAAGAAGCACAATTATATTTTGTCTTAAAAAAATTTTTGGGTTTAATTTTGCAGGGGAAGGGGAGGGACAAATATACATCCAAACTAGTGTATTGTATATGTAACTTGCTGTTCACACACAAGTATAGATATTGTATGCACTGTTATATTTTTGTGTAAAAAAATCTACAACAATAAAACAATACTTATGTTGTCTCATTTAAAAAAACAAAACTCTAAATATGTACATGTCAATCTTTAACAAAATTCAGTCATTCTGGCTGGTAAACATGGTATACAATACTTGAAAAAAAAAAAGCACTAAACCCGTTATGGTTAGACAGTAGTAAATCAATGAGAGATAAAACAAGTCTTTCATTAAATGTTTGACTCTTGAGCTTTATCAGGTTACATGAAGGCCAACAGTCAGGTTCTAAGAGGAAGATTGGGTTAAGTGACAGGGGTTACAGGTGACTAGAGCTGTAGACAACATACCGTCAATCAGAGAATCTGAGTACGGTACAGCTGTATATACATTAATAATTTTGTGGGACACAATGTTCTAGAATATTGTTGGCAAGTGGTCTTGTTCAGTGTGCAAAACTTGGATGGTAGCCATTTTGAGACAGGTTATCCTGTGCCTTATTCTAATCCATAAAATGAGAGCAGCAGTTTATCTTAGGAATTTTTAACATAGTTTTTCACATGTTCAAGAAATACGTACAGGGCATCCATTAAGGTCTAGGTTAACATCTTTTATACAATTTAATGAAAGCCCTTTGTTATGTGAAGCATTTTGGGCAGACAAAAACTATGTACAAACTACCATACTTAGTATACTACTAATAATTATAATGTATTAACAGCAGAAATAACTGACAGTAATTGTTTGACTGTTGCTTTTTAAGTATCACATTAAGTTGAGACATTTTTAAATGTACTATATAGAGAAGTGTCAGCACTATACTAGTTACTAGAGGCCTTGAAAACTAGTCCTGGAGGATCAGACCAGGATTGTAATCTGGGATTTGGAAGATCTCCGTAGCTGTCTGAAGAAGGAATGCATCAAGGCATTAAATCAAAGGAGGTAACCCCAGACAGTATGGTAAAGCAAGGAAATTCCTTGGGAACTGTGTAGGGTGGTAGTTCTAGTATCAGTAAGCATGTTCTGCTATAATATTGGGGACGATCCTAAGATTTCAGATATGTATTTGCTGCCATTATTTTTTTTCTTTGGTGCCAACAATTTCAGACTCCCTTGTAATGTGTTTATTAAACTGTATGTGGTTTTATCTGGTATGTTTAACTTTCCCCTTTGAGCCATGTATATAAGGTCCCTTTGTCAGAGGTTAAATTGCATGAAATAACATATAATTTTTTTGGAGTCAAGCTCAATTTTCAGGCCAAGCTACCCTAAGAGCCAGACTTCTTTTCAAAGTTATTTCATCAAATCCTCCCACATGCAGTGGACAATGAAAGAGATTTGAAATGCTTAACAATTCACAAATGCAAAATTATTTACGAACATTGTCTCTACATCCACAGCAGGACTTGAACCTGCAAACTCTGTATCAGTACTTTACAGTAATTTACCATGAAGCCAGAACTGTTAAGCATTTCATATCTCTTTAGTTGTCCACTGCATGTAGCAGGATTTGATGAAATAACTTTGAAAACAAGCTTGGTGCCTCGAGGTATGGGGAAACATCGTCTAGTAATACTAGCAACCTGTTAGAGGTCAAAATAGAAGGATACAATATAAAAAGCTTAGATAGGAATAGAAAAGGTGGTGAGGTATGTGCCTACAGAAGAAATGACTTAGCCTACAACCCAAGACCTGATTTAAATGACAATAAACTGGATTGATCAAGTCTGTAGTTGTGTTACCAGGTAAGACAAAGATGTCTGTTAAATCATAGTTCATTTGAGTATTATATAGCAGTAGCTCCTGTTTGATCAGGTCTGTAGTTGTTTTACCAGATAAAACAAAGATGCCTGTCAAATCATGTTTGAGGTTGTTTCAGATAGAAAAGATGTCTGTTGAGTCATGTTTCAGGTTGTTTCAGATAGAAAAGATGTCTGTTAAATCATTTTTGAGGTTGCTTTAGTTAGAAAAGATGTCTGTTAAATCATGTTTGAGGTTGTTTCAGTTAGATAAGATGTCTGTTAAATCATGTTTGAGGTTGTTTCAGTTAAATAAGATGTCTGTTAAATCATGTTTGAGGTTGTTTCAGATAGAAAAGATGTCTGTTGAGTCATGTTTCAGGTTGTTTCAGATAGAAAAGATGTCTGTTAAATCATGTTTGAGGTTGTTTCAGTTACAACCATAAAGGATATGTTAACATTCAGAGAATTAAGAAGTGCAAGGAGGTCATCATAATGTTTACTCAATGATCTGATATTGTAATTGAATAGTGTTATGTTATTGTTGGCACTGAGTACAACTTTTGCCTGACTGCCAGTGTAATAATGGCAAATATTGTTAGGATTTGTATGTCAGTAATGTCAGCTAGGCCGGTATACCTTGTATATGTACTGCTACAAATAAACATATTATTATCTTATTATTATTTTCTTATTATTATTTTTATTAATAATATTATTAAATATTGTTTATCATCCATCATCACCACCATCACCACTATCATCACCACCATCATCACCACCACCACCACCATCATCACCATCATCACCATCACCACCACCATCCACCATCACCACACATCCACCACCATCACCACCATCATCATCACCACCATCACCACCACATCATCACCACCCAATCACCACCATCTCCACCATCACCACCACCATCACCACCACCATCACCACCACCATCTCCACCACCATCACCACCCCACCACCACACCACCACCTCCATCACCACACCATCTCCACATCACCACCACCACACACCATCTCCACCACCACCACCATCCCACCATCTCCCATCACCACCACCATCTCCACCATCACCACCAACCATCCCACCATCACCATCCCACATCACCACCACTCTCCACCATCATCACCACCATCACCACCATCTCCACCACCACCCTCACATCTCCACCATCTCCACTCACCACCATCTACATCATCACCATCACCATTTCCACCATCTCCATCACACACCATCTCCACCATCTCCATCACCACCATCTCTCACATCCACCACCATACTCCATCACCACCATCCCATCACCACCATCTCCATCACCACATCACCACCATCTCCATCACCACCATCTCCATCACACCATCTCCACCATCACCACCATCTCCATCACCACCATCACATCCATCCATCACCATCCCATCATCCCATCACACACCATCCATCTCCATCCACCACCATCATCACCACCATCTACCACCACCACCACTCTCCATACACCATCACCCCACCATCTCCACCCATTCCACATCCACCCATCCATCACATCTCCATCACTCCACCATCTCCCACATCACCACCACACTCTCCATCATCACCACCATTCCATCACCACCATCTCCATCACCCATCTATCACCACTATCTCACCATTCACATCCACATCCCACATCTCCATCACACACCATCCATCATCACCATCTCCATCCACCACCCATTCTCCATCCACATCAACCACCATACTCATACACCATCCATCATCACCATCTCCATCACCACACCACCACAAACATTTCGGTCATTTGTATTTATCTGGATTTCGTAGGACATTTTATTTCCGGGTGTCATAATTGAGGAAGTTTACATTAACTAAACACTGGTAAATAGTAGACAGTAAGACAACTACTAATAAAATAATTAACTATAAGGTTAGGTCTTGTTAAAATTTTCGGGATAAAGTTTTATTTTAGTAATATATAATAATGTAGGTTGTGTGAGTGGTATTTAAGAAACAATATTATATAATAATGTAGGTTGTGTGAGTGGTATTTAAGAAACAATATTATATAATAATGTAGGTTGTGTGAGTGGTATTTAAGAAACAATATTATATAATAATGTAGGTTGTGTGAGTGGTATTTAAGAAACAATATTATATAATAATGTAGGTTGTGTGAGTGGTATTTAAGAAACAATATTATATAATAATGTAGGTTGTGTGAGTGGTATTTAAGAAACAATATTATATAATAATGTAGGTTGTGTGAGTGGTATTTAAGAAACAATATTATATAATAATGTAGGTTGTGTGAGTGGTATTTAAGAAACAATATATAATAATGTAGGTTGTGTGAGTGGTATTTAAGAAACAATATTATATAATAATGTAGGTTGTGTGAGTGGTATTTAAGAAACAAGTCAGCTGCTGGTACAGGTAAACTGCATCTTCAAACTTTCTTACAGTTTCTGGCGTCTTAAATTGAGCAGCAGCAGCAGGAAATATGGCCATTTGTTCCTATTATCAGCCTGATGGCCATGACAACCACGATAACCATGATGATGATGATGAAGACTACGATGATGACTACGATAATGGCCACGATGATGACTACGATGATGACTCTGATTCTGATGATGACTCTGACTCTGATTCTGATGATGACTCTGATTCTGATGATGACTCTGACTCTGATTCTGATGATGACTCTGACTCTGATGATGACTCTGACTCTGACTCTGATGATGACTCTGATTCTGATGATGACTCTGATTCTGATGATGACTCTGACTCTGATTCTGATGATGACTCTGACTCTGATGATGACTCTGACTCTGATGATGACTCTGATTCTGATGATGACTCTGACTCTGATGATGACTCTGACTCTGATTCTGATGATGACTCTGACTCTGATTCTGATGATGACTCTGACTCTGATTCTGATGATGACTCTGACTCTGATGATGACTCTGATGATGATGATGATGACGACGATGATGATGACCAGCAACAGGTAACTTTTGGTGTCAGTCACCCTGACAACTTGGCTACTAACAATGCAGATATAACTCACTTTGACTTTTTTATCCCAGCTTCTCTACACATATGTTGCTGTGTATGATAAATCATGACCTGGTTGGCAAAGCTCACGCTTCACACACGGAGGGCCTGGGTTCGATTCCCGGCAGGGTGGAAACATTTTGACGTGTTTAATTACACCTATTGTCATGATCACCTAGCAGCAAGTAGGTACCTGGGTGTTAGTAGACTGGTGTGGGTCGCATCCTGGGACAAAACTGACCAAATTTGCCTTAAATGCTCAGCATAACAAGTGACTTTCTATATACTAGTACTATGTCATTGATGTCAGCTATGGTCTGTATATCTTGTACATGTAGTAAATAAAGGTATTATTATTATTATTATTATTATTATTATAAGATTGCGTTCGGATTTTTAACCCCGGAGGGTTAGCCACCCAGGATAACCCAAGAAAGTTAGTGCGTCATCGAGGACTGTCTAACTTATTTCCATTGGGGTCCTTAATCTTGTCCCCCAGGATGCGACCCACACCAGTCGACTAACACCCAGGTACCTATTTGCTGCTAGGTGAACAGGACAACAGGTGTAAGGAAACGTGTCGAATGTTTCCACCCGCCGGGAATCGAACCCGGGCCCTCCGTGTGTGAAGCGGGAGCTTTAGCCACCAGGCCACCGGGCCTGGTGGCCTGGAAATAAGTCACTTTGCCTTTTTTTTTTTTGAGATATTTTAAGTAATTTAGAGTATGTAAGATAATTTCACTTATATATATGTACTTGGACCTGGAGACCTGGAGAGAGTTTCGGGGGTCAACGCCCCCGCGGCCCGGTCTGTGACCAGGCCTCCTGGTGGATCAGCGCCTGATCAACCAGGCTGTTGCTGCTGGCTGCATGCAAACCAACGTACGAGCCACAGCCCGGCTGATCAGGAACTGACTTTAGGTGCTTGTCCAGTGCCAGCTTGAAGACTGCCAGGGGTCTGTTGGTAATCCCCCTTATGTGTGCTGGGAGGCAGTTGAACAGTCTCGGGCCCCTGACACTTATTGTATGGTCTCTTAACGTGCTAGTGACACCCCTGCTTTTCATTGGGGGGATGGTGCATCGATTCTGCCAAGTCTTTTGCTTTCGTTAGTGAGTGATTTTCGTGTGCAAGTTCGGTACTAGTCCTCTAGGATTTTCCAGGTATATATAATCATGTATCTCTCCCTCCTGCATTCCAGGGAATACAGGTTTAGTAAACCTCAAGCGCTCCCAGTAATTGAGGTGTTTTATCTCCGTTATGCGCGCCGTGAAAGTTCTCTGTACATTTTCTAGGTCGGCAATTTCACCTGCCTTGAAAGGTGCTGTTAGAGTGCAGCAATATTCAGCCTAGAAAGAACAAGTGACCTGAAGAGTGTCATCATGGGCTTGGCCTCCTAGTTTTGAAGGTTCTCATTATCCATCCTGTCATTTTTCTAGCAGATACGATTGATACAATGTTATGGTCCTTGAAGGTGAGATCCTCCGACATAATCACTCCCAGGTCTTTGACGTTGGTGTTTTGCTCTATTTTGTGGCCAGAATTTGTTTTGTACTCTGATGAAGATTTAATTTCCTCATGTTTACCATATCTGAGTAATTGAAATTTCTCATCGTTGAACTTCATATTGTTTTCTGCAGCCCACTGAAAGATTTGGTTGATGTCCGCCTGGAGCCTTGCAGTGTCTGCAATGGAAGACACTGTCATGCAGATTCGGGTGTCATCTGCAAAGGAAGACACGGTGCTGTGGCTTGTCGACATCCTTGTCTATGTCGGATATGAGGATGAGGAACAAGATGGGAGCTAGTACTGTGCCTTGTGGAACAGAGCTTTTCACCGTAGCTGCCTCGGACTTTACTCTGTTGACGACTACTCTCTGTGTTCTGTTAGTGAGGAAATTATAGATCCATCGACCGACTTTTCCTGTTATTCCTTTAGCACGCATTTTGTGCGCTATTACGCCATGGTCACACTTGTCGAAGGCTTTTGAAAAAGTTGTATTATTACACTGATTCTTTTTGTCTTCTAGTGCATTTGGGCCTTTTTTTTTGTGATCCAATAGTTGGACAGACAGGAGGCCCTTTTTAAAAACCCCAAGGTTGCCCGGGTTTTTGTAACTGATGGGTTTCTAGTGGGTGGTGATCTTGTTTTCTTAGGCCCTTTCAAAGTTTTTTATGATATGGGATTTTATTGCTTTTGGGGCTTTTGTTCTTTGCTGTTGCTTTACTCCCCCCTTTGTGGAGTGGGGCATGTCTGTTGTTTTTAGTAACTGAGGGACGGCCCCCGGGGTGTCCTTGCCCCCTCTCCATAGGAAAAAAAAGGCTCATGATGGGGGGCTTCTTCCCGTTTTTGGGTTAAACACAGATTTCCATGAGTCTGGCCCGGGGGCAGGGGTGCTGGGATGTCTTTTATCCCCTTTTTCCCGAAGTCTTTTGGCTCAGGAAAAAACATCGGATAGGCTTGTTTTAAATAAATTTTTGGGTGGCTCTCTCATAAAAAATTAATTTTGATCTTGCTCTCAGCCCGGGTTAGGGCTTGCAAAAAACCTGATTTCATTTTGGGGACTTGAGTAGCCCCTTTTCTTTTCCCTTGCTGTCCCTTGTGTAGGCCCCATTTTGGGTTTAAAGGGGCCCAATATGGCGTTGTTCCGATTTTGATTTGGCTAGGAGATGAAATACTTTGGGTTTTTTTCCCGATTTCATTTATGGTTTTTAGTTTTTCCCCGGATTCGGCCCCTTTTAAAGGATTTTTTAGTTTAAAGTTCGATGCTTGCTATTTTTGCCCCAGTGTCCCCCTACCCCATTTCAGATATATTGACCTTTTTTAGCCGCTCTGTTATTTTTTTCGGTCGCCTGTAAAGGGAGCCCCTTTGTCCTTTCTTTTTTTAATTATCCTCCTTTTTTTTTGGGGGAAAAAGCCTTGTGCATACATCGGTGCCCCCCGATTTTTAATTGTTCTGGAAAAATTTGGGGGGTCGTGTTGTTTTTGTGTATCTTCCCAGCTTATTCGGTTAGGATTTGGTTTATTTGGGTCCCACTTTAGTTTTTTGTTTTTAAAATTAAATTTTGGGTGAATGCCCCTCGGGGACTAGTCTCTTTTTGTCGGTCTGGGGGCTCCACGAAATTGGTCTGAACCTCATTTTGTTGTGATTGAGTATATTGTTTTTGATATGGGGGGGGAACTTTTCTTATCGGGATCTTTCTTTTTTTTAGTGAAGATGGGGTTTAGTGTTTTCCCCAGTTTGTAGGCTCTATTTTTTGCGGGTTTTAAAAAATTGAATTTTGTGCAGAGTTTTAAAAAAGCTCTTTGTGATGTGAGTTTTCTTCAGAGCTGCCCCTAGTGTTATTTACAAAAAACAATATTATTTGTATTTCCTCCATTTTAGGTGCCTTAAGTTGAAACCCCCCAGGAGCAAGATTTTGGGGTTTGCAGGAGCTGGAAGTTTTTCCCAGACATTTGGGAAATTTTTTAACTTTGTTCCGGGAAATTTGCTGGGATGTTGCAGGGAGGTTTGTGTTACCACAATGACTAGGTTTTGGTTCTCAAACCTTTTACTGCTAAAATTTCCCAACTCTTTCATTTGAGGCTTTAAAAGCAGTTCTGTGCAAACAAGTGACTCTGCAATGTAAAAGGCCCAAACCCCCCCCTTTTCCCTTGTTCACTCTGCACATTGTATAGGTTTTTAACGGGGGGTTTCCATTTTCGTTGTCCAAGTGATCCTTTATGGGGGTTTTAGTAAAAAGCCGCAAACATTGCCTTTGCCTCTGAAAGGACCAGGGAAATGAAAGGGTATTTTGTTGTTTGTTGTTTTTTGGCTTTAGACCCTGTATTTTTGCAAGAAAAATTTTATGGGAAACTGGTGGTTTTTTGTTGGTATGGGGGGGGATTTTTTTTCCGGCATTATTCTGTTCTGTTGGTTTGGAGTGGAGGCCATCGACTGTGGTTCACTCCAGGAATTTACTTTGGGTTTGGTGGGACGATTTCTGCCATTTCCCGCCCGTTTTTTTTCCTTCCTGGCACTTAAAAAAACCCCTCCCTCTTGGTGGCTGTTTTACCCTGTTTTTTCCCCTGGCCTGGATGTTTTGTATCTTTTTGTCCCCCTTTGATGGTAGCCTGGCAATTTAAGTTATAGGGACATCTTTCTTTTTAACCCGAAGAGGGACACTTTTTAGGGTGAAAAAGCTTTCAGGAAGGGGTTTGCATTTTCCTGTTGTTTATATGGGGATGGGGGATTTTTTAGGGTTTGGGCATTTGTTGCCCTGTCCCCTCTGTTTTTCCCGATTTCCCCTGCAAACAGGGTACCCAAAAACATGTATGTGCACAAGCTTGGTTTTCCGCTTGCCTTTGGGGTTTTTGTGAAGTTTCCCCTTTTTGGTGCATGTTTCCCCGTCTTACTTCTATCCCCCCTAGCCCCAACAATGGGCTCCCCCCCGTTGTTTTTGGTAATTTATCCTCATAATTTCTATTGGAGTCCTCTTGTTTGTATTTCCTGCGGTTTTTTTTAATTTGCAAAATTGGTTTTAAACTTATCTTTGACTTCACTTGTTTCCTATTTGGTCCTTTTCCCCCATTTGGGGCATTTATAAAGGGATTCCCCTTTCCCCCCCTATAATTCCCACTACCTGGCCCAAAAACTCCAAATTTTACCCTTACTGTCTCCCAGGATAGTTTTCTCCCGCTTCCCTTTTTTTTTCTCCCAGGACAGTATCTCCAGCTTTACCAATTTTTTCCCCCCAGGGCAGCACCTCCAGCTTCACCAAATTTCTGTCTCCCAGGAAGCACTACATCCCCAATTTACTGACTACCCGGACTTCATCTCCAGCCCTTTCAGTTTGTGTTTCATGGCCAGTATCAAAGGGGGAAATACCATTCGCCCAGGGCTTTTTTTTTTCCCATCTGTTGTAGAAAGCTTGCAGGTTTTTTTATGGGAAGCCCGCTTTGATGTTGTCCCTTTTAAAAACCCTTTTGATTTTTGTCCCAAGAATTTTTTCCCTTTGGGGATACCCAAAAAAATTCTCTGTTTTAAAACTGCTTGTAGCTTGTTCTTGAATATTGCCCAAGGGGGGAACCAATTTCCACAAAAAAAAACAATTTATCCCTGTAGGGAAACCTTTGTTTGACTGACCACAACTACACACAGCTTAAAAATGATTTGAATTGGGGTTTATTTACTGCAATTCTACTAGCCAAAAATTTTTGGAATTTCTATTAATAACCTTAAAAAGAAGCTCTTGC